TCAATCAGTGAAATTTGAATGTTGATTAGTATATTATGTAATATATATCGGTGTGAAATATCTTAAATTTAATCATTTACTGAGCTTATATATGAGAATGTCAATATTCTTCGGAGTTTCACACTTAAATATTTAGGTGTGAAAAGTCATGATGAATAAAACTTAATCTCAAATGATACAGTAATAATAACAATTATAATAATATATAAATACATGTCTACATTATATAGATAGATAGGAAGAGATTATGCAAATGTGGCAGAATGTTAACAACCAGTGAATCTAGGTGAAGCATATGTCATATTTCTTGTGCTGTTCTTTCAACTTTTCTATAGGCTTAATCTTTTTCAAAATCAATTTTTAAAAAATTAACATGATTAACCCGATGCAGTTAGTATCCCTAAAATACATCCCTTGCATTCCCTTCCTTATATTCTTTTGAATAAAAAGCTATCTTCTTTATTCCTTAATGATAGGTACAAAACACTTGACTTTTCCTTAAGAAGGTCTCTTGTATGTATTAGTTTTCTCTGCATTACGTCAGTCACTCATTACAGCAGGCCCTGCAGGTACTCTCCACTGGTGGAGAACCTTGGCTGAAGAATGTCTTGCTCAGTCACAGTCCCTTCCCAGGATAGCCCACATCCAATGCCTGTTGACTGGGGGCTATAAAGTCCTGGCCCTCTTGACCCAACTCAGGATGGTTCTACAGGGCCATCCCTGCTTCAGAGCTCTCTGTAGGGTCCACTGAGGCCTCAAATGAGACCATGTCACAGCCTATTGTGGCCCTGTGCCCAGTCCACTTCCTTCCCCTCCTTGCTACATGTGGTGGCCTCATGAACACTCCCTCACAAACCTCCTGCATAGTAATCCCCACCTCTCAGTCTACCTTCCCAGGGACCCAACTGTGGCAATAATATGACCATTTTGCAGATGAGGAAACAGAACCTTTGAAGATCACTTGCCTAAGGTCAGAAAACCATTTATTGGTAAAGCCATGACGGACTCCAAATCTGTTGGCCTCCAGCTTCCCCTCCCTTCGATTTACCTTTCCAAATCCTACTTCTCGATTAAGGACAGGGCCAAGTTCCCACTTCTCTCAGAGACCTCCCTGACTTCCCCTTTCTGACCTCGAAGCTCTCACCATCTGCTCCATTTGGCGCATGGGCATGGTCCCACTTGGAGGCTTTTCTGAATCCTTACCTCATATTACAAAATCATTGTGTTGTCCATTTAGCTTTCCACTTTGAAGTCTGGTGCTTTCTCTGCATTGTAAGTTCCTGGGGATAAAGGTCATTCATTGCTCTTCATGTCCCAACAGTTGCTGTGCACACGCAGAGCACACAGCACATTACTGTGCAAGAATGGCAAGATCCCCTCTCTTCTGGCTGTGTTCTAAGTCTTAGAACAGGAAGCACAGCATCCTCAAAAGATACTTAGCCCTGTGGCTGCAATTTCCTTTTTGCCTTTTCTGGAATGGTACAGGCTTTGCGACGTGGGATATGAGGGGATGGCAGGTTATTCTGCCAAAGAAACAATACCAACCGTGGGGAGAGAACCCAAGCTGCACTGATCCACATTAGAACGTGAGCCAGAAAACACCTGGTCAAATTCAAATTCAGCCAAGCAACAAGGAAGGAAAAAAAAAAATACTAGGACTGAAATCACTAGAACATATCTTTGTCATTTATTTTGCCAAAACGACTTTCATTTTAATTAGTTAAAGCATTTCATAATATGCTAGCAAATGGAATGTTGTGTACTCTGCAAAAGTGATGAAGTCTTAGATCAAAAATCTGACAATTCCACGTTATTAAATTTTAAGGGAGAAATAGTTGAGTAGCTTTTCTTTGAAGATTATCAGCTGGGAGATTAACAAAGGCTTTTCCATAATCTCCTCCTAGGAAGGAGAAGGGGAAGGAGGCAGAGGCAAGAAAGTTTAGTCCAAACTCCCTCTCACTTCCAGTTCCTGGGCTTCACTTGTTTCCATGGTAACTCTGTTACTAGGTGGCCACTCAGACAGAAGCAGGACTTGAAACAATAGGCATCTAAACACATTACCAGCTTTACGCTTGGAAATAATTTTCAGCATTTTTTTCTCCTTTGCCGTCAAACATTAACCTGTATGATGATGTGTGGTGTTGCAAGAACAATATAAATGCATATTGACTGAAAAATAATGTTTGCCAAACTTCCCTAACTGTGCATGAACACCACCAATACAGGAAGTCGATTTTAGAAAAAAGTTTCTGAGTTGGAACATCTGTAGGAGGGGTCTCCAAACTGTAGAGCCCACAGGCCAAATCTGTGGCCTGCCACTTGTTTTGTACATCTCGTGAGCTAAGAATTGTTTTTACATTTTTAAGTGGTTGAAAAAAATCAAAATAATATTTTGTGATACCTGAAAATTATACAAAATTCAAATTTCAGTCTGAAATAATGTTTTATTGAAGCACAGCCATGCTTACTCATTTATATATTGTCTAAGGCTGCTTTTTTAAAGATTTTATTGATTTATTTGAGAGAGAGAGAGAGACAGAGTGTGCACGTACAAGCCGGGGGAGCGGTAGAGGAGAGGGAGAAGCAGACTCTTCACTGAGGAGGGAGCCAGACTGGGGCTCGATCCCAGGACCCTGAGATCATGACCTGAGCCGAAGGCAGACACTTAACAACTGAGCCACGCAGGCGCCCCGAAGGCTGCTTTTGTGTTACAACAGCAGAGTTGAGAAATTGTGACCGAAACTGTATGGCCCACAGAGCCTATCTACTATCTAGCTCCCCACAGAGAGAATTTGCCAACCGCTGATCTAGAGACATGAATTGTACAGGAGAATTTAGACTAGGAGGCTGGGTACTTCTTCTTCGCCAAGAAGTCTGTATCAGGTGCTGTCTTTATTCTTTCAGGCTGCTATAAAATACCATAGACTGGGTAGCTTATCAACAACAGAAGTGTATTGCTCGAAGTTCTGCAGGCTGGGAAGTCCAAGATCAAAGCACCTGCATGCTCGCCTTCTGGTGAGGGCCCCCTCTTCCTTGTTCAAAGCCAGCACCTTCTCCCTGTGTCTCCACATGGCAGAAAGGGCTAAGGAGCTCTCTGGAACCTCTGCTATAAGGCACTAACCCCATTCATGAGGCCTAATGATTTAAGCACTTCCCAAAGACCCCACCTACTAATACCATCTCCTCTGAAGGTTAGAATCTCAACATATGAATTTGGGGGATGTGTGGGTACACATTCAGACCACAGCAGGAGTTTTCGATCCAGATGCAGGCCTTTCCCACTGAGTTTTTACACATTCCACTCACCTTTGCTTCTAGAAAAGCACAGCTGTTATTTTTGTGAAGACCAAGAGGAATAGCGTTACATGATCCGATCACATTCTTTGTCAATAAGGCTCACACTCCACTCTCCTAGGGCTCAGGCAACATGCTACTTACTCCCTCAGGTGTTTCATCTTGCTCCTGGCCACTGCGCTGGTGAACACTGTTGGTCCCGGGGACATGTCTGGAGCTGTGCTGGTGACGGTCCTTGTGTCTGAAACATCAATGCACAGCACTTACGGACTTCATCAGCACTCCAGCAACTTGGAGGCAACATTCAAGGGCAATCAGAAAACAGAAGTTAATCCACCTTCGCCACTACGTAATGCTACATTAATTAGAGATGAATTCAATTATGACATGCACATTAAGGAGATTGATTCCTAATGACAAGATTATTTATAGTTTTAATACGCACAAGGAATTCCAGGACCAAGCCTCTCACCAAAAGGATTCCTTAAACAGAACACCATTATTTAAAAGATGGGCTTTAGACTAGCAAACTCTCCAGGAAATGCATCAATGACAAAGCCAACACTCCAGAGGAGCCCTTAGCAGTTGCTTTCAGCAGGTGTGGTATTTGCTCCGATGACTGAGACAGTTTTTCTAATAAGATTAGTTTTCCCTTTATCTTAATCCCGCACCTGAGCATTGCGTTTTTGCAATGGAAAGCAAGATGCTGACGGTTGGTGTGTGGGGGGGTGTCACCTGCAGCCGTGAACTTCAGCAGAACAGAGCAGAAGGCCAAAACTGGGTTCAGGAGGTAAAGTGTTGTTAATGAGAGCTGCAGTGTTATGAAATCTGCTGAGAAAGCTACAGTTTCTACTGATAAACCCTGGAGGCTCCTACAAGGCATGTTGGAATTGAAGGGAAGGAAATAGTCCATCAATTGAAACCACACTACTTCCCATTAGGAAGCTAACGAGGGCCCCTGAGCGAGGGCTGGGGTCGTGCAGAGTTGGATTTGCATACCGTCCTTCCCGGAGCTGGAGCAGAATCTTCCTTGTGCATTCCTTACATCCCCCACAAGGTGCCTCACACTCCATCAGGAAAAAACATTGAATGCCCTAATATTCATTTATAAATTATATCCACGTAGTAGTTGCTATATCCCAGAAGGCCCCATGTTGGGACATTCCCACGCTTCCCACCCCATCTCTTGTAACACGTGACTGTCTGATTTAGGGACCAAATGAGGGAGTGAGAGCCAGTTCTCATATTACATATTAGCAAAGCTTTCTTCTTATATTTTTAAGTTTAAAAAATTAAATGCAAATTCTAGTATTCCTCAACTACACCCTTCTTTTGTACACCCCCTGGGAGGGCATGCATCTCACTTTGAACTGCTTGCTCTCATGGCTATCGTTGAGATGAATACTCTCCTGCTTAACTCTTGGTCAGAATCTCCGATCTTTTCGCAGCCTCCATCCCTAGATGCAGAATTACTGGCTCGACAGGTATGAACTCTATAAAGCTCCTGCTCTTTCTGGTACTTCACCAGTTATGGCCAGTGACTGATTGCTCCCCTTTGGCTCCCTCCTGGCGATCACCCCTTCCACACCCCGAGGGAAGACCCGCCTCAGCCTCCCCTGGCGTCAGACAGAAGCTTTATTTCAGCTTTCCCCTCCCACCAGCTCTGGCCAGGACAGCTGCTTCTCCCCAAGGAAGGCTTTTGTGAGAAGGAGAGATGGCATAGGGGGTTCGTTTCATGTGCTCATTGGTTGCTTTTTATAATCATCTTCCCTAGATCCTGAAAAGTTACTAAAACCATCACCACACTACACCAAGTAAAACGCAAGCTCAAAAACCAGTCCTGCCAAGACAGAAAAGAAGGTGCTGCTTTCCCTTCTCTTCCAGAGAGCTGGCAAATCCTGAAGACTTGTGCAAATAAAGGTCAAAGAAATTTCCAGAAGAGCTGCAGTTTATTTTATTGTGGCCACGATTCCCCTCAGTAGGGCTCTCAGTATTGCTGGGAAAGATGCTAAGCCTTGAGCCGGAGCAGAGAATAGGCCAAATACCATTTCAAGTACCAGCGCTGACAAAGCTCGATGCTCAAGAGCAATTCCTTTTTTCATTTTTCTTATTGGCCAGGCTTTTTCCTCTCCATCCCACCTTTCACCAGGAATAGCAGTTGCTTTATGTCAAAGAGAAGGACAACACATTTAGCAATCATAATAAAAACGACTGGGCTAGAATCATAGACTTCAGCTTCTTAGATGAATCCCAGAGTCACTGAATCCGAGTGTGTTTTAGAACTCTGCTTCTCAAACTTCAATGTGATATGAATCACCTAGAGATCTTATTAAAAATGTAGATTCTGTCTTAGTAGGCGCGGGTAGGGTCTGGAATTCTGCATTTCCAACAAGCTTAGACAGGCCAGCTACATAATTTGTGGGGCCCACAGCTGAATGACAGTGCAAGGCCCCCTGTTCAAAAAGCAAGAGAAAAGCTGATTACTTTCTTCTGCTTCTGATTACTTGTGGACTGTCACGGTGTTTTTTTATGGGGCATTTAGTGCTCTCCCTCAGGAACTGGAATAGATACTCTCAAGGAGGGTGAAGACCCTTGCAGGGGCTCAAGGACCCCGCCTGCCCCTGATCCTCCCCTATCTGTGCACAGGCCCCCATAGGGAATGGAGGGAGTTAGGGAGTGGGTGGTGGAGAAATCTTCCCGGGGGGTGGCTGGAGGCAGCATGCAAGTGAGGCTTCAAGCCCCCAGCATAGGTTCCATTGTCCCATCAGACTTCACTCATAAACATAAATTCAAAGATAAAATTGTTAGGGATTTTACTAAACCCCAAGTGCAAGGCCCCCTCCTGAGCCTGGGACACCATGCAGCTGCACTGGTTGCAGGCCCATGAAGCTCTGGTTCTAGAGCTCTGCTTTCTCAGACTTAAAAAATAGATGAATCCTTAAGCCTTGTGTTGATTTCCTTTTTTTTTTTTTTAAAGATTTTATTTATTTATTTGACAGAGAGAGACACAGTGAGAGAGGAGCACAGGCAAGGGGAGTGGAGGGGGGAGAGGCAGGCCTCCCGCCGAGCAGGGAGCCCGATGCGGGGCTCGATCCCAGGACCCTGGGATCATGACCTGAGCCGAAGGCAGACGCTTAACCATCTGAGCCACCCAGGCGCCCCCCTTGTGTTGATTTTCTAAAGTTAATCTTCTCTTTATTAATTTCAACAGAAGGTTCATGGCCTTGGAAGTAGTACGTATGTGTAAGACACATAATGTTAGGTGCATGTATGAATTCACAAATTTCCTGCGAGAACTGTATACCCTCTTCCCAAGGAGCTTCCCGCCACAGGTTGGAAGTGCACCCTCCCATGAGTAAGTCTGCCCCTCGCTGTCTATCTTTGGCTATCCCTCACTTTTGCTTCACCTCCATCTTTTTTCTAAAGAATCGTGGATCTGACAGGAAGCATCGGTTTCTAAGAAGAACGTCCAGCAACCAGTCATCAAATGAAGCTTCTACCTAGGATAATTTTTAAAAAGTGGATATGGGCACACGTAAGGAGTGGCCAAGGAAGATGTTTAAAAAAACAAAAACATTATAAAAAAACAAAAACAAAAACAAAAAAACAAAACAAAACAACTCTGACCAGTCTATTCCGCCAGTGGTGAGTTCTGAAGATACTTGACTCGGGTGTGCCTCTGGGAAAAGCCCTGTCGTAGGTGTTAAGTGGCTCTGACTTCAGCCTCAAGCCAGAGAAGAGCAGGGGATCAAATGGCAGCCATGTCCTGCTTCCTTCTACCTACTCACTGTGTGGGTTGTGTGTTCCTTAGAAGGAGACTGTGACCCCATTAGAATAAAGGGAGAGTGACTATGGTCACACCATGGAGAATTCCACTGTGCTCATGGCTCAAACCACGGGTCAGCCTCAAAATGGAAGGTCCAGACATTTTGAAAAGAAGGTGGTGACAGGAAATGTAACCTGGAACAATTTCAGCTCTCGCTTCCTTCTTCCATCCCCATCATGCCCTTCCCTGGAACAGGTAGGACCTGTGATTCCTAGGGAAACACAACAGCAAACCAATGCCACTTAGTGGTTCTGGTGAGTTTCCTTTTAAACCAACCACACTCTTCCCTTGTGTCATTGAGCCTGGGGTCTGTCTCCCTCAAATTCTCCTCTCTCTCCTCTAGGCCCTGTCACGGTCGGCTCTCTGCCATCCTCCTTTCCTGGGTCCCATCTTTCCACGGCTCACCCCCGCTTTCCATCCTTGGCTCCTGTACCAGGTACAGGACTTGTATTTCGGTACTTAGATTTAGGGTCTTTTAAAAACTTTACTTCTATCCAAATTCATCCCAAATCAGCATTAACAACAACAACAACATAATAATGGCTAACCCTTTTTTAGTAGACAAGTGCCAGGCCCTGTGCTGAGCAGCTGACCTGTAAATCATGTCATGTGAGGGTTCTGGGAAGTAGGTACATTTTTCAATGAATGAGCTTTGAGACAGTAAGTAACTTACCCAAGTTCATTACAACTGACACATGACATAGGCGGAACTCGAAACCAGGCCTTGTTTTATTCCACAGTCCTAGATGTTGGCAACCCTACTGGAACCTTCCCAGAGTGCATATCCACTCTATGGCAGCCACTGGGCCAGATGTCAGCTGAGGCACTGCCCACCATGGTTTGCTTTCTAATACTCATAGTCACAGAGATGAATCTGTTACTCCACTCCCCTATACTTTTCTTTTCTTTTCTTTTCTTTTTGATTATTTATTTATTTGACAGAGAGAGAGAGAGAGGGAGGGAGAGCACACAAGCAGGCAGAGTAGCAGGCAGAGGCAGAGGGAGAAGCAGGCTTCCCGCGGAGCAGGGAGCCCGATGTGGGGCTTGATCCCAGGACCCCGGGATCATGACCTGAGCCGAAGGCAGATGCTTAACCAACTGAGCCACCCGGGCGCCCCTCCCCTGTACTTTTCTAACCAGTTAGTAAGCTCCCTGACTACGCAGATTATGTCCTGTTCATCTTTTTTTTTTAACTTCTTAATCCATTTTCAAGTGTACAATTCAATGGCAATAAGTACATTCGCCATATGCAACTATCACCACTATTTATTTCCAAAACTTTTGCATCGCCCCAAACAGAAACTCTACAGTCAGGAAATAATTCCCCATGCACCTCTCCCCAAATCCCTACTAACCTCTAATCACTTCCTGCGTCTGTGAATTTTACTGTTCTAGGTACCTTATGTAAATGAACTCATACAATTTGTGTCCTTCTGGATCTGGCTTATTTCACTCAGCATACTATTTTCAAGGTTCATCAATGTATGGCATTAGCAGGACTTCCTTTCTACGGACGAATAATATTCTTTGTATACATCACGTTTTGTTTATCCATTCATCTGTTGATGGACACTTCAGTGGTTTCCACTTTTTGAGTATTATGAGTAATGCTACAGTAAACATTGGCATACAAGTATCTGAGTACCCACTTTCTATGCTTTTGAGTACATATCTAGGAGTAGAATTGCTGGGTCATATGGTAATTCTATATTTAGCTGATTAAGGAGCCATTAAACTGTTTTCCATAGCAGCTACACTGTTTCACCTTCCCATTATTGTGTGAGTTCTCCACATCTTCGCCAACACTGTTGTTTTCTGGTTTTTAAATTATAGCCATCCTAGTGGATGTGAGGTGGCATCTCATTGTGGTTTTGATTTGCATTTCCCTAATGACTTTTCATGTGGTTATTGACCATTTACATATCTTCTTTGAAAAAATGTCTATTCAAGTCCTTTGTCTATTTTTAAATTGTTTGTATTTTTGTTGTTGAGCTGTAGTTCTTTATGTATTACAGATATTAAACTTTTATTTAATATATAATCTGTAAATATTTTTTACCTTGTTCATCTTTGTACCTCCAAAGTTCATCTCAGCATAAGGCATGTATCATATTAAATTTATACCTAAGTATTTTATTCTTTCTTGGCGGGGGAAGGGTCACTTTTCACATTTTATTGGCCACAGGGGAGGGGGCCACAGGTGAGAGGACCATATCACCAGAGGTGCTCACCATTTCTTCAGCTACTCCAAGCTTGGTTCCTAGGGATCCTGAGGGTGGGTGGGTGCGTTGGACATGTTCCCATCATCTGGGGGGGCAGGGGGAGGAATGGATAGTTGTAGGGTGTGGCCCGGTTGATCATGGTAGCATATTTGGTGAAAGGGCTGAGGGTTGGCAGAATTATAGTGAGGACCCCAATGGTGAAGGATGCGACCAGCACCAGCTCCTTGGCCCAGGCATCCTTGAGGAAGGAACGAGTCTCCTGGCCATCTTGGTCACAGCAGTGGCCTATACCTAAGTATTTTATTCCTGATGCTATTGTAGATGGAATTGTTTTCTTAATTTCGTTTTTGAAATGTTCACTGCTATGTATAAAAATACAACTGTATTTTAGTGTATTGATCTTGTATCCTGCAATCTTGCTTAACTTATTAGTGCTAATAGTTTTTAGTGAATTTCTTAGGGTTTTCTACGTACAAGAGCATGTTATCTGCAAATAGAGATAGTTTTACTTCTTCTTTTCCAATCTGGATGCCTTTCATTTCTTGCCCTTGCCTAATTTCCTCGGCTAGAACCTCTAGCACAGTGCTAAATGAAAGTGGTGAATGAAGTCTTTGTCATGTTCCTGTTCTTAGGAGGAAAACATTCTTTCTTACACCATTAAGTATGAATTAGCTATAGGTGTGTTCATAGAAGCCCTTTATCAGGTGTAGGAAGTTCCTTTCCATTCTTAGTTTGTTGAGTGTTCTTTATCAAGAAAGGTTGTTGGATTTTGTCAAATGCTTTTTCTGCATCTATTGAGATGATCACATCGTTTTTGCCCTTTATTCATATGTTTTATTTCATTAATTGATTTTCTGATGTTAGATGACCCTTGCATTCTTTGGATAAATCCCACTTGGTCATCAAGTATAATCCTTTTTTTTTTAATGTTGCTGGAATTATTTTAGTAGTATTTTGTTGATGATTTTTGCACATATATTCACGATGGATATTGGCTCATAGTTTTATTTGTTTGTTCTTGTGATGTCTTAGTCTGGTTTTGATATAAAAGAATGGCCTCATAGAATAAGTTGGGAAGTGTTGTCTCATATTCCATTTTTTGGAAGAGCTTGTGAAGAACTGGTATTAATTCTTCTTTGAATATTTGGCAGAATTTACCAGTGAAGCCTTCTAGGCCTGAGCTTTTCTCTATTGGAAGTTTTTAGTTTACTAATTTAATCTACATGTTATAGGCGCATTCAGATTTTTCGTTCTTGACTCAGTTTTGGTAATTTGTGTCTTTCTACAAATTTGTCCATTTCCTCTAAGTTATCTAATTTGCTGGCATACTATTGTTCACAGTATGCCCTTATAATCTGTTTCATTTCCTTAAGGGTAGTAGTAATGTCTCCCCTTTCATTCCTGATTCATGAATTTGAGTCTTTTTTCTTATTTTCTTGGACATTATGGCTAAAGATTTATTAATTCTGTTGATCTTTTTAAGGATTTTTGGTCTTGTTGGTGTCCTCTATTGATTCTTTATTTCATTTATTTCCACTCTAGTCTTTATTATTTCCTCTCTTCTGCTTGCTTTGGGTTTAATTTGCTCATCTTCTTCTAGTTTCTTAAGGGAGGTATTATATTTTAGATGCTTGAAGGTAGGAATTAAAGTCAATGGTAATTTAAATAGTAGCCATGGTCCTTAACCCAGAAAGAGCTTGCAGTCTACTAGGGAAGACAGGGTATCCGTCTAGATGATCACCAGGAGTGCTACTTGGTATGTTGACATAAGACACCATGCTGCAAAGAGGGGTACTGAGAGTCTTCGGGAAAAGCACTAGCCTTCAAGTTAGAGGACCAGAGTTATTGTTCTAGTTCTACTCTCACTGGCTACATAGCCCTCAGGTCACCTCCCAGAGCCTCAGTTTGCTCATATTATATTTAAGCAGTTTCATCGGCCTTCTCTCAATTGGAACCTTCTATGACCTGGTATAAGACATCTCCCTGGACCTCCAGGGGGGTGGAATTTCCTTGGGAAGGCAACACTAATACTAATAACAACAACAACGATAAGCAACCAGAAGGACCAAATATTAAGAGGCAAATGGCTGGCACCAACAATCAATGGGGCAGGCACTCTGAAACATCAGAAAAAGTCATCCTGAAGTCTTTCCCCACCTGCACAACACAGGACGAGGAGGATTAGAACACTTGACACTATCCCCTGGGGATGTTTTGACAGTGAGATGAACACAAGACGATATGAAGAGACAGTCGGCAACTAGGAGCTGTGTTTCATAAGGGTGCAGAGCACAACTCATCAGAGTAATATTGTCGGGCTTCCTGCTACTTCTATGGTCTCTTACCAGCCAAGCTATTTTCCCCGAAGGAGTGACAGCTTGATGATTCTGACATTTCACCAGCAGAGAGAGTTTCTTCTCTCATTTCCTCCAAAATTTCCCTTTACACATTTGCTCTACTCATTTACTACCCCCAGCTCAGTGCCTGGATGGATGACCTTGATGATAAAACAGAAACCTGCGTTCATCCTCCCTGCAAAACCTCCTGCCATGTGGGTGATAAAGAGCTGATGCAGGGACTGCAGGGCTGGATATTTTGGCAAACAAGATCCCATGTAAGCACCTGGGACATTGCTTACTCAGGAATCCTTGCAGACACTGCCCTTCGTGCACAGTACGTGCAGGATGTTTCTCTGCTAATCTTTTACCCTCCCATTTCTTGCAAGTGCCTCAGGAACACTCCAGAAATACAGTTGCCCCTCTTGGCCCAAATTATTGCAAAGGCACGTCCTCATGGCCCACATTGTTCCCCCTACTCTTTAGAGTGGCACATGATGGAAGATTTGTCTATGGGCTGACAAACTTTTTCTGTAAAGAGCCAAGTAGCGTTAGACTTGCAGGCAAACAATCTCTGTTGCAACCACTCAACTCTGCCGTTGTAGCATGAAAACAGCCATAGACAAGAGGTAAATAAATGAGCATGGCTGTGT